ATTTCCTGTTTTTTTGTGTTAAACCGGAACATGGTTATGTATGATTTTTTTTTTACTCTTAAGTACTTCTATCACCTCTTTAATAATAATACCCAATAATTGTGGGACACCATATAAAAAAATTGTTTTCTTAAATAAGTGATTAACTATAAGAGCCTTTATAATTTTATACCTAAATTGTAAGTATACTTCTGTCTCAGCTTTAAATTCCTGGTAAGTACACAGCTCCAATGGCAGTTATACCATTGAAAAATAAAAAATACTGCTATTCAATATATATCTACTAATAACAATACACATGATATTATAATTCTTGAGGTAGGGAAAAATAGGAAAAATTGGCTCACTTTATAAGTAGTTGGTCATTGTCGATGCTTCAATGAAATTAATTATCTCGTTTATGCCTATGACAATATATTTTAAATAGTTTGAGATATGAAACCATTAGATAATCGACTTATTACAGTTTTATCCATAGATATTTCTCCCCAATTCTGTAGTCATTCTGTTAGTTCTCTCTTCCAAAAACTACCTCTGGATCCACTCAAGCACAGTAGGGTAGAATGAAAAACACTTTTTTCTGTAGACAACCTTCTAATAGCATTCGAAATTGCATTTTTATGTCAATAAAAACACTACTAAATCTTTTTGTTCTATATTTATATCTTGTGGTTCTGCAAGAGGTTTAAAAATAAGGTTTTTGTACAAACAATTTAAATTTTCCTTTACTATAGTTTTAGTTCTCAAATACTGTTTTAAATAACTGCTTATAGCCCCTTTTTTAACTATAATAATGATGAAATGATGTTAAAGTTAAATAAATGGGCTTTAACCTAATTTTATTTTACCTAACTAAATTTAATTAATCTATTATTATTAATTTTTTCACTCTAAAATTGTTTTTGAAACACAGTTCTAAATTAAAAATATCTATAATAATAATTATCTTACCAATTTTTTCGGCTTAAACTATTTAAAAGGAATTTAATATAAAAATTATTTGTTAACGATTACTTTGTTGTAAAGACTAATTATTAAGTATGGCATTACATTTTTTAGTGTTTCTTTCATAATAGGGATTTCGCAATTGTTCATGTTGAAATTTTATTTTTAATCCCTTTCTAAAATCTCTTTAAAAGCAAAATAATAATAATATTGGAAACTATTGGTAAGTTTATTATTAGAAATACTCAGATGCTTTAAGTACTTTTAAATATTATTATTTTAAGAACTATGTTGCAATAACAATTTGAAAGTGAAAAAATTAGTTATAATAGACAAATTCAACACAGAATTGAAATTTTCTTTTTTGTTAAAAATTCCATTTATTTAACTTTTGCCAAAAGTTATAAATTTAGAGCACCCAAACTTCATTTCATTGTTGTTATAGTGAATAGCGGTCTTCACTAAAAACGTCATTTGAGATAAGTCGTATTTGGTTACATGTAATGTCATCTTGGTCTTATCCTTACTGAAATGTTTCAATAGAAACTAAAAGGAAACTTTTAAAATTTATTTTCAACTTGATAAACCAAAAATAAATAGCGTAAGGTTCTTCTTCAAGCAAGTGACCAGTCCAGCTCTCTTGGAGGGCTGTTAATCTTTTTTATATTTTGCTCGTTAGAAAACCACATATTGTAAATTCATTGTTTAAAAGAAATAATATTTAATTTTAATGGTATAATAATGTATGACAAATTAGATGAAAAAGTTAAATGTTTTATCTATGACGATGAGCTTTAGTAAGGAACAACAAACGAAATCTTGTACCCTTAAAAAAAAGACAAAATGGGAAAGCCAAAAACATAATTGAAAACTTATTTTAAATAAGGAATTTCTATTGAATTCAAGGAAAGCTCTATTCAAACCTAGAATTATGGCTTGTCATGATGAAGATGAGTTTCTGATTACTCAAGGAAATAAAATCCTTAACAGCATTTGGATCCACTGATAATCAGGACCTTAAAAGAAAAAGTGATACTTTGGAATAGACTATCGAATCTCTTAATTTTGGGACAAAGCTGAAAAAATAAGAAATCATATAAAATACTCTCATACCTCAACTCAGGAACGGATCTAGGGGGGGGGAGGGAGGAAGGAGGAGCTTTTGAAGTCTCCTCTCCCCCAAATGGTAATATAACCATGTTTTAGGAAAAAAATTATCTTCAAAAGTATTATTATTCGTCTAATTACAGTTAATAGGACTTCAACAATTACTTAAAAACCATTTCATATAGGTAATCAGTTTCTTTTTTTCTTCCGTAGTCATTCTCCTAATATATATGTAAAACAAAAAATCTTTCGGGCTGAAGCTCCCTCCCAAAATTAAATCCTGGATCCGTTAGGGCCTCAACTACAGGGCTCTCATCATCACAAGCCAGGAACAAATGCTGTTTACATTGGAGCAACAATTTTTCTGAAGAATCATTGGACAAATGTGCATTGATGATCCAACTTGAGATTTGAAGACTCAAAGGTATATAAAGTATATTTATTTGTATATTTTATATTGGGTATGGCTCATTTTAACCTAGGAAGGATATAGAAATTCATTCCATGGGTCCATTATATTATTCTTAAACTTTAGAGACTGGAGCTCAACCCACTCAGACGTTAGCTCAAATACTAATACAGATTAAATTGGTCCAATTATCAAGTCATGGTGTAAATGTTCAAATGAACCTTTTTTTTCTATTGCATAACCCTCTACCCACCATTTCTGGCACATGCGGGGGTTGAGGTACAACCAAACCTATTCTGATCAGAGTGGGAGGGTCGAGTTTCATTCCATGGGTCCGCCACGAAATAAAAGTCAACCACTCCCAGGCCGGTTTCGGACTGGTGTCGTTAAGCACGAGGATGCTAAAACGGGCAACGCTCCAACACACTCGGCCTTTGTAACCTACCTGTTCAAATGAACCAGAAAACTTTATTAAAAAAAATGATAAAATTTAGATAAACAAAATACTTTATCAAGTGTATTTCAACCCATTTTAACAAATGCCCCATAATTATGGGACAGCAAAAAAAAACTTCAAATATATTAATCAGAAGTATAAATACTGATAATCTAAGATTCAATGTAGGTAATTACAAAATAAGCTCTACATTATACGGAACAACAATTTCATTTCAGGATCCTTAATTATATTTGATAATAAAATACTGGGACATTCCAAAGGATGATAAAATGAATAATAAATCCAAGGTGTGTAAAATCAAAAACATTTTTCTCAATTATAAAATATGTTATATATTTTTTTAAAGCATTAGTTACAAAAAATACAAAACTTACACTTAATAATACATATCTTCTTTTTAAAACATGTTTTTCAAAAATAGGTAACAATACACCTTATAAATATTGAGTATAATATTTAGTCTGCTTGACAGCAGATAAAATAAATATTTTGCATCCTTTCAGGAATAATATCGATATAAATGTCATTGAGTACATCACAGACAATGTGAAGTGTATTTATGACTTAAACTAAACAATTTGTAAAATTTTAGTAGTTTAACAATATCGTAACATAATTTTTCCTAAATAATCTTTTTCATTTATCATATCGAATGATAATTTAATTATCTAAATAACAATTGTTTTTGGGTTAAGAAGGAACAAAATATTATTTTATTCTTTTAAAGGCAACTTCTACAATTTCAACTTTACAATAATATATAAAATTAAAATTATAATTTGATTCATCAAAATTAAGATAGTAAATCAGTCAAAAAAAAAAATTATAACAATAAAGATTTACGTTAAACTTTTAACAGGGTGAAAAAATACATCCATTTATTAACTTTTTTAAAAAAATCTTAAATTGTTGTATATTTGAAAATTGTAAATTTTGAGAATCACAATGGACCAACCTCACCAGCTTTGATTTTGTGAAAAAAACCTTTAGAAAATTTCACAAATAGACATATTTTGTTGTCAAACTTTTTAAAGACCAGTTATGAATATCAATCTTTACATTACTGCAGTCTAGGTTTAATAAGACAGTGGTTTTCATTTTTTTTTTTTCATGGTACTCTTTTCAGGTATCTAAAGATGTTTATAAGCCCCCTTGTCCGATCAAAAAAAAAAAATGTAGCACCCTTATTTGACTAAAAAAAAAAAAAAAAATGTGGCTCCTTAGAGTGATCATTTAAATGTAAATGTAAACCTAATAAAACTGTGGCCACATATTATCTTAAATTTGATTCATTTAAAATTTTGTTGTAAATAAATATAAATTTTAGAATGTCTATTCGCCAAACTGATGATTTTGACCTTAAATATTAAATAATATTACCACTACACAACTGACATACAATTGTTGCGACCAGTTTAAGAACACCTACAATAAGAGCCAGATTTTAAAAATGTTTTGTTATCAGTATTATGACGTGACATGTGACACTTTAAACTCAAAGTGAATTTTTTAAAAAAATTAGACAAGTTCACTGTAGTTCATATTTCCTTTTATAACACCAAATGGGTGAAATCATATATTTTTTGTATGGAGGGAAAATAATGTTATAAATTTAGTAATAGTAATAAATTTGTATAATAAAAATGGTATGGCAACATTGATTTCATTCATAACAATATTAATGAACTATGATATTTCTTTGATTAGACATTTCTCAGTTCATTCATCATGGACCTCAGATATTGAATATTTCTGATAAATATTTAATTAGTGATTACATCACTAATTAAAAGAATCCACCCTGAGTAACGTTATCATTGACTATTGAATGATATACATGCTTTCCTTATACCTCAAAATTAAACCAGATGACTCGTAGTTCTTTTATAATACATTAATGTGCAAAATATAACATAAGGGTATGATTACATTATATTAATAATATTTTACAAAAGAAAGAAACAACAACAACTAGTAATATCAGACACATCTAAAAAACTATACAACTTAAATAACTCATGGAGTCAAATGTCAGGACTCATGACTGTGAATCACAGAACTGCTTTTTGGTTGAGCTAACTAAATGGTGAGATCTTCCCACTCCTCCGGTTCTCTTACGGTAACCAACACCCTTATAGAAGTCAGCTTCTGGAGGGCTTGGACGATCTGGTTAGGAACTGGATTCTCCCTCACATCAACTGACTGTAGGGCAGGGGAATTCTTCAGCCTGTCCACATCCACCTCTAAAAGACACAAACAATTTCATATTGTTAATTATTGTGATTCTAAATTAAATTTGTATTGAATATTTTAAAAAATGAATAAGGAAACATTAGCTGTAGAGTCGGTTGGTTTGAACACTACATTAGGAACTTCCGATACTATCTTCATTTCGAACTCATCTGAGAATAATCAAGAACAGATTGAATAGATTGATGGCAGGTTATAAATTAATGGATATGGAGTTTATGATTAATGGACATAGAAATCATATAATTATAATTTTAACTAGATTCAAACGCATTCTGTTAACATTCAGAATTTTGAACAGAACTTTAAGGAAAATTTCTTTAATTTTTCTATAGACATAAATTTAAAAAAATTTGTTATTTCATTTTATTCTTTAGTTAAAAGTAAATAAACTGAACTAATATAATATTTATATGTTTTGTTCATAACACTGAATATGAATCAGTACATAAAAATAAATTTATCATTTAAATAAAAAGGAGGTCACAAAAGTTATGCTATTTCTTAAAAAACAACTATCTGTATTATACTATTATCATAGGCAGCACATCCTTGCGAATCTGAACAATAAGCTGATCGTTTTGCCAGATTATAGTTTTTTGAGAAATTTCTATGACTCTTTTTTATGAACTAAAAATAATTTATGGGTTGCAAAACTATTTATATTAACATATTACCAATAATGTGGTTGTGGCTTGCATTAAGAGTTGTGAGCTTAGGAATTCTGTAAGCAACAAGAGGCAGGTTAATGAAGGCATTATGAGAAATATCCAACTTTTCCAACTCAGCTAAGTCGGCAAGTTCATCAGGTAACTTGCTCATTTGATTGTTTGACAGGTTCAGTTCTGAAACACAAATTCAATATAATTTTATATTAATATTTATTAAAAAATTCTATAAAAGATAATAGAAAAAAAAAATGCTTCTACAATTTGTAAATATCCAAATCAAAAATAATATGACTACAACTTCCTGAGAAAATTTCATGTGGAAAAGTATTGGAATTATGCTAATTAAAGGAATAAGTCATTATATCCTTATACCAAATATAAATCTTAAAGACAAACTATATGGATCTAATGTAAAATATTGATGTTTGTTAATTCATAAGATTTTATATTATTCACACTACTGGTGCAGGTACTACTACTGGTGGGAGAACTTGTCCAGCAAATGGGCCTTGTGGTCATTTTTGACAACTCCTGATGGCTATCTTGAGGTTGCTGCCGCTGTGAATCACCAAAGTGAGAGCGTCAAGATTTCCCTGGGGCCACCAAGAAACGAATATTAACTGACATTGGTGAGAATGAAACCCACAACGTTCAGAACCGGGAACTCTGAGATCCACGGCCTAACCTGCTCGGCCATCATCACATGGAACAACCCTTTAAACTATTAACAAATCTTAAACAAAAACTTTTGTCAACTTTGAAGAGAAAAACAATTAATAGCAAAGTTTTGTCCATAGTTTTCCTGAAATCCTTTTTATTTTGAACAATAATAAAATTTAACTGGGTGTGCTATGTGTTTATAGATTATTTTCCAATATCAAATAATTTCTCAATAACGTTCGTATACCACTACAATGGCATGAAAAACAGAGATCAATTATTGTTAAACTGTCGTTACTTAAACAGGAACAAATAAACTTTCTCCACTAACTAACTATACAGTATCAGTAAAGCACTGGTAATATAGTTAATTTGAAGTAAAATTTTCATTTAAGTGTCCATAATCATATCACTGTATGATAACTTTTTATATTAGGCTATTACTACTGCCATAGTGAAGTAGCGGCACATGCTATCCCTCGACAAAAAGTTGAAAGTTTATTTATCAAGTGAAACAGGAAAATTAACTATATAGTGAAATATAGATGTTTCTGTTGCTAACTTAATTAGCCACAAAGGAAAATCCTAAATTAAATTAAATTACTACAATAAAGAGATCAATTGTTGGTATATACGCTACGTATATTTATTTTAAATTATCTTTATTTTTATCATTAACCTTCCATTCTTTCAAAATAGGTTTGACTTTTGTTACATGGCAAAGCTATTGAACAATTAATGTTCATATCAGTTGTACTATAGACATATGATTATGAACATCTATATCTATGCTAGAAGATTGAGATCCTTTTAAGATTACTTGAATCATCATCCATGAAGAACCATTGTAAAATATTATTTATTATTATTAATATTATTACTGCAAAGGATTTTGATAACAAACTTCACAATGGTGTCACCCCTTAGAATACAATAGTATATAATACTTGGAGTATTTAAAAAATTCTTTTATTATTTTTAAATTTTAAATTAAAAGAAAAATAATTGTTTATAACTCATCCTGTTAATTTCCTCTAACAACATAATAAATATTTACCTGTGATCAGAGAAAACTTTGTAGCGAATTTTGGTGGTATTTTGGTTATAACGTTGCTGGAGAGATTACATGCTTTGAGCTCTGTGTGCCGCATTAAGTGATAAACTGCATCTGGCACCTGCATTAACTGGCACTCTGACAAATCTGTAACAAAAAATGAATTATTGCTATTATATGAGGAAATGTTAGCAATAAAGTTTTATTGATGATTTATGACATATTATCCATGGTGAATTGGATTGCTTTGAAATTATAATTATTATATTATATTCTCATGTATAAATAAATAAATAAATCTAATTAATCAGTCGATTATAAATGAATCACACATATGCGTATTCAATGGGATTCGTTTACAGAGTTATATCACCAACATTGGGTAAGAATAGAATTAGCTACATGTAAATTTTAGTCCATGATAATAATAATTAATTAATAAAGCATAAAAATTAATATTTCATATCATACATACTATGTCGAAACTTAAAATATTATCAGTTATTATGGAAAGTCACTAAGCAACATCTAAGAAAATTAAATCATTAAATAATTTGATGATTTTTTTCTCTGTAAAATCAAAAAAATGTGCACTTATTGTCACATAAATTGGGTTTGTGTTATTTTTATGGAATGAATTTCGGCAGCAATAAATATGATCGAAATTCACAAATATGTACCTCAAATAAGTTAAATTTAATTTAATCAAAAGGTTTAGCTCCATCTAAAATCTACTTAGTACTTCTTTCTGTAAGTTATATAAAACAACTATGTATTTCTATATCTACTGTACTTGATTTATGTGATATGAACTTAAGGAGCTGTTCATTGCTGAACTGATGACTAGAGCTTAATGGAGAAAAAAATATCCATGTAGTAAGACTATAAAAGGTAGTTAATAATACTTAATATATTAATGATTATTTGTTTTAGATATCTGCAGTATAAGAGTTTAAATTTAAAATCTGCAAACAATTGCTTATTTGTTATTCATTTCCAATTAGTTTAGTAGACAGCCAAAAGAGTGCGTTGAGATGTTAAAGAAGATTTCTTTTCTCTGACTCACGCACACATATCATGTGAGACACAGTATTATTACTCATAAAAAAATCAATAATTGTTTCAAAGAGTTTTTTAGCGTAAAACTTGAATAACATTAATTAACCTTTCTATTAGAGAGCTCATTCATAATTCTTTTGATCATTTCTAGAAATTTTGCGTAAGCTTTCTCATAGAAAAATTAACAACTTAAAATTAATCGAAATAAAATAAAAATATACCAAGTGTACTAGTTTCTTGTGCTTCCTCACAGCGGAGTATCACTTTAGTCACACCGCCTGCCATCCTATCCCAGGAACTGAGTATGTGGAGTGGAACTAATAAGAATAGCTCGCTGGTTATTCCCACCTCTTCCCCCGTTATTGGGTTACAATTTTTTATTTATTCTCCTATACTTGTATCATTTTTACGAAACTCGTATGATATATATGTCATGAATCCATTGCGATAATGTTTATAACATTATTTATATTTATGTGTAAATAATTCAATGATTTATTTATAATTTATTTATGCCTACCCCTCTTATAAAGGTAATTTTTCTGTGCCTTGGCTACGGAATGAATATAATGTAATGCATAACCATTAAAAGATATTAACTTGAGCTGATAATTTTATCTTACTGTAAATAATCTAAGAATTGGAAAACTTTCAGGACAGGATGGCTGGATGATGGATATACAGATCTCCTATTCAACCATGTAAGTTCATTTTTCAATACTATCTAGTTTAGATACTAATATTTCTTCCAGTGTCAGATTATTATTTTATGAATTAGCCGCTATAATAAAGAATAGATATAAATTTATCTATAATGAACAGTTTAGACTAATGGATTTACTTTCGTATATTTTGAATTTTTTCCTCACCCCTATGCATAGAGAAATATTTGATGTACATTAGTAGATAATTATTTAGTTAGTAAATTAAGACATGGGTATATTGAAATTCATTCTTCGTAAATACTAAGTACATGGCCCGAACATTTAATTTTAAAAATAAAAAGTAGATGAGGAGATATTATTGAAAAACAGTTTTTTTAAAATCAATTTCACGTGTGCAAATTCAATCCTCCCAAAAATTTAACTACTAATTCTAGCAGTTAATGCATCTATAATTTAATCTGAAAAATTTAAGAATCTGAAAAAAATATATACATGGTTTTTATATTTTGGCTTTTATATCATGGCTCAAGAAACAGGAACGTTGGCAAATAAAGATATACAATAACAATTGTATCTTATTGGTGACCTGTGGTCTAAAACTTATTAAATAATAACAGAATAAAATGGCATCGAACTTAAAATGTATGACAAGAAAATTAAACAACTGTCGTTTAATAATTTTTAAATTTAATAACATTACATCAGTTGTTCTTATAATTGATTTATGCTGACAGAACTTTGTTATACTGCACTGTAAATATTTTACATATATTGTTACTTAATTTCTTTGCAATATCTTTTGTTAATTGTTTATTCCATTATACTACGTTTATATCTTAAATATTCTACTTATATCGTTATTTTTTCCCTAATTTCTTACAATTGTTAGTCATCTTTAATTGTCAGTTCATTGTACGTAATAACTTTTATTTTATTTTTGTGATTTTATTTATTATCGATATTTTGTCATCATTTAAAGTATTGAAATTTATATTTATTAAACTAATTATGTATGTTAATAGACGTTATTTCGTTAAGATGGTACGGGTGGAATATAGGTAACTATTAAGGGCCCCTTACACGGTCAATATAATTGAGCCAATATTATTGAAGCAATATAATTGAAGGCAATATATTGAAGGGGTACTCCACACGGGTCCATTATATTGAGTCAATATTAGATCAGTTAAGATCTTGCTTCCACTAAAGAAGGAGGAGGTCTCCAAAGTGGTAATCTTTCTTTTTTGTGAAAATGAATTTCCTATTACTTTAATTGCCTCGACTTTAGCATTAAAAAAAAAAAAGTGTTCTTGTAATGTTTATTTTGTTTCTAGACATTAAAACGTTTCTTGGTTCTGTTCTTGTTTCCTAATTATTTAATATTCATAAGAAAGTTTACTAATAAAAAATATTTGTATAAAAAGAATCACAAACCTACTCAAACGTACTGCTATTTTATATTTAAAAAATAATTCGAAGAGGGGGGTAACTCCACACCCTCCAAAAAAAATAATGAAAGTAAATCAAAATATCACCCATCTACCGAAATATATATCCGTTTTATCTTTTTAAAAAAATATCGAGGGGGCAGGGTAGGTTTAACCACCTCAAAAAAATAAATAAAAGTAAAACAAACCCACCTACCGAAACATAGTGCTAAGAGGTCCACCGAACATTTTGTATCGGTCAGAGCTTCTTAAGATCCGTGTATATGTGGTTCAATATTGCTCAATATAACCCTTACACGTACAATTATATTGACACTGTTTCAATAATATTGAAGGAGCTTCAATAAAAATAAAAAAAGTTGATATCAACCAGTTTGCTTGACGTCAATATAATTGATGCCAATGTAGCCCTTGCACGGTCAATATATTGGTTAAACTCGATATTGACCGTGTAAGGGGCCCTTTATAGAATTGGATGTGGAAAAAGTTAAAACGCACCGATATGCTTATTCTTCAATAAGATGACAAATTGGAAAGCATCAACTGAAAATAATAGTGTTTTTTTTCGTAATAGTAGAAATAACTATTAATTCTTAGTAGTAAAAATATATATATTTTTTTAATGCCATGTATGATCTCCGGGTTGCGTATGGTATGGCAATCAAATAATAGTTATTTGTACTATTATTAAGTAGAATCCCAGCCTTAGGGTGATCTTCAGGGATCCTTTCCACTTGTTAGAAATTTTAAAAAAATACTAAACGTTTTAAAATAAATAATTTCAGCCTATCAATAATAACTGTTGAATTAATGATTAATAAAATTCAAATATTACGTAATATAAAACAACTTAAGAAATGTATTTGATTTTTTTAGGGAGGAAAAATGACGTTATTTGTTGGGGGCGCCGAACGTCTCAGGCTGGCACTGTGTAGAATTTATTTATGAAATATTAGTCTGGCATTTACGTGATCTTTTTCTGTTGTAATGATACCTTATTGTTCTAAACCTTAATTGTTGGTATTTGAGAGAATTGAGGCTTTAAGAATCATCTAACTATACCTTGACGATAAAATTGTAGTTTTTTCTTTGTTTTTTATTGTTTATACATATAAAAAAAGACCTTTCTGAAAATAATCCGTCACAATGAATTCCTTTCCTGAATCATATATTTACGATAGCCAGGTCCCCAATTGGAGAAGGCGGATATGGTGCTAATGTGAGCAACATTCCCGATATGGGAGAAATGGTGGGGCCGCCCTTGAACCATGCCTCAGCCAAAGACAAGATCGCTTCCTCTTCCTAGCAGCGTCTGTACCTTGCCGCGCGTGTCTTTGGTCATCTGGTATTATGATCTAAAAGAAATTAGCGGGAGGGAGACAAGACGACGAGAAGCAAACGAAAAGAAAAGTCGCTTGAATATATTGGCTGTCTGTTGATATCTTTTACATTCCCTTTATCGTGCATCCATATTTTCGATTTAAGATTTTCTATGTATTCTCATTACATATAGTATAACTAAAAATGTACACAACAATAAAAAGGAAATCGTGAAGGCTTGGAATCTTTTAGCAGTCTTAATGTTGACTAAATGTCTTTATTGAGCGGTACCAGACCTTGTAAACGGCGCCTAAAATAAACATTATTAATTAACCTTACAAGGTCGATCATCCACTGCTCCAGAGCGAATGTCGGTATCAAGCTCCAAATAGATACCTTCGTATTTACGGCAATAAACAAACTGCGCAGTTCAGAAATAATACATAATATCATTATGTAGATGGATATCGTTATATCTTAATCGTGAGTCTTAGTTTAATCTTCTATGCTATGTTTTGTTTTTCTTTCAAGAAAAATCCTTCAAAATGGAATATGCAATTTAAATCATTTTTAAATTGCACATGTATCCTATAAGTGTACCTAAACTATGCAAAATAAATATAAAAGTGCTGAAGTACTGCAAGTGTTCTTGAATTTCAACTTCGATTAAAAGAACAATCTATTCAGAGGTGCCCATACCCTCCCAACATCGATGGCACATAAATCCTGGATTCGTTACTGCTTTAAAGATATTTCAGTTTTGAATATTAACGCTCTTGACTATCAGTGGACGACAGGTTTCTAGAGATGATTGGCGTTTGGAAAGGTATGAATAAACTCCATCTTTGTGGATAATTTAAACTTTCCGGCAATATACGTCTCGAAAGATTATTTCTTGTCTGGAGAAACATTTAAGTTAGTTGTGTCTTATCCGCAATATTTCATTATTTTCGACAAAAGCAACAACGTCCAAGGGATATTGAGGGAGGCGAAATTCCACTAAACAGGAAACAGTACGGTCATCGATTCTTGCATAAGAGCGTAACATCTTCCTGTCGGCTATGTCCGGAGAAAGCTGGACATGGGAGATCTGCTTCTGCCGATCATATCTTTATTTTATCACTTGAGTATGTTTCAATTAATAATGATTAAGGAATTAAAAGAAAAATCTGTCAAAATCTTAGTTACAAGCTTTGCTTAGCTTTAAAGTTTGATGTAGACTTTCTATTATTAGCATGACTGAAGAAAATCACCACTCTGGTTTTCGCATGTTTCATTGAACAATTGCAATCTCTGTTATGTCATTTTAAAATGTTCAAGCACGAAGAAAGCATTATTCTGTAAACCTTCCCCACAAAAAAATGCAGTATCAGAACGTTTCACAGTAGCACTGGCACCGTGAAGCAATGCGTGTTCTATTTTCAGTTTGCTTAAACCCCAAGTAACAACTTTAACCCTACGCCTCAATATTTCAGTTCTGTCTCCCTCCCTCTCCCAACTCCATATATTGCCAAACATTGTTTCTATTCCCTTCGGCACCGTTAATGTATTCCAACTAGGACAGAATAGGCTGGTTAGATATTAAAACTTTATTGGTAGATCGAATGGGCTTTATCTTCATATTAATTATTTTTATTGACTGATAATTCTGGACGTGTGCTACCTGTTTGTTATCGTTCTTTTCAATTCACCTTCTGCTGAAGATATTCCGAAAAAGCTAAATGAAAGTCGATCCCAAAGTAAACTAGTGGCTATAAATTCTGAAGTCCTGTAACACCGAGTTAAGTTGATTAGTCACTGAACTAGTAATGTTGATTAAAATGTATTAGCAAATATGACAGTTAATCCTATA